TGTTTTTTCCCTCCTGGGTGAGAACAATTGCTGGGACACAGCTAAATAGCAAAGCTATGTTTTGCCCATCTAGTTGTGGTTTAAGTGAAATGAAGGGGGGACAAAGCTTCCCCTCTCATGAAAGGGTGATTGGTACCTTTGGCACCTTTGAGCTTGCCAGTTAGCTCAGTAAGAGCAGTGCTTTCTCCGAAAGCAATGTAGACAAGTGTATTTGGATTTATCCTCCTCACCTGTAGAATTTTGGGCTCAGCCCAAACCACCTATTTTTCTCCTTTATGCAAGCTACCAGGCTAGGAGCTGGATCAGCAAAGATGATGACACAGATGGTGTGTCCTGGTCTGATGCTACAGGTGTTGTAGCCTCTGGAAAAAGGCAGGGCAGAACACTGTGACAGCAGCTGAATGTTGCCACAACTGAATTTGCCAGAGCTGTAAGGAAGTGAGGAATTAAATTCTTGCATTGTTTCCACATCTGAGTAATCTTCTCATCTCCTGTAGCTGTGCTGGGGAGAACAGAAAACCATTCTCAATGCTGGGACCTGACCTGTATGATCTCTGGCTTGTGCTTCTCAAGCTGTGAATTCCTTCTTAATTACTGTACCTCCTACCTTTCTGTGTGTGGCAAACCCAAATAAGTGACACACAAGCTCTAAACAAATGCATTTTGTTAGGTAGGTAGGCCAGTGATGTGCATAGTAAGAAGCCATGCCTGACTGACACGTGCCCAGCAGACAAATTTCTTCACACTTTGAATTGACTCTGTGTCAAAGCATTTCATGCTAACTGAGATCTGTTGAGGCAACAGAATTAACTTACACAATGAAGTATTTAAAAAATAAAGATAATACCAAAGCTTGTACTCAGTATCTAATTAAATACTTCCCTAATGCAGTGTCCCCATTTATAACACGTGAAGCCTGACTTATGTCTCCTGGGAGCAGGCCGGTAAAGAACAGCATTACAAATATTTATTTACTTCCCTTGTCCCTCACTGGCTTTATTTTAAGGGGTGTGCAAAACTGCACAGAAGCTACAGGGGAGAAAAAGCCCCCTGGGAAATCCTTTGTATCGGGATGAATTGGAAAAACAAACTCTGGGGTGCTCATTTGCCATGAATCACTTTTCACATCACGTGCGGAAAATGAATGAGGCGTCTGTGAATCTAATTCCCTTTGTCCCAGTTGTAAAGCAGATCAGCACAATAGAAGAGGCACAAGGCCAGCAAAGCAAGAGGTGGAAAGCAGGCACCACTCAGTGAATTAATTTCTAGTCATTGGAGTGCTGCTTGCTCCTTTACTTCTCTACGGATTTAAAGAACAAACACAACCTTATGGTCCCTGGGAAACGCCTTTGTTAAGCGCTGCCACTGAAGTCTCGCTGAGCGCGGTGGTGATGGTGGAGAACACGAATACTTCCCACTGTCAAGCTGGGTCTCTTGTCACTCTGAGTGGGAGGACAGAAAGCACACCACAACAGCCTTGTTGCACATTAGGAAAACAGGAGATCAGTGCATTTAAGAGTCTGTGTCATCCCAGGAGAAAAAAGATAAGGATCTAGGATCTTTCTCTTATTTTGTTTTTAACCTAACTTCAAGATAAAAATCCTACTAATCTCTTTCATGCTGAACTACATTTGTGACAGCTGTTTATTATTCTGAATTAGATTACATTGTTTCTTCTTTATTATCTTCTGACTAAATACAGTTTGATTTGTGTGTATGTGTCAAGTTAATTTGAAAGACTAAAAATATTTTACCTGCAAAACCCAGTGCTGGCTTGGGAGTGTAACTCTTCCATTCATTGTCTGGTTTATAAACCTCTCTCACTGCGTAAGAATAACTTAATTGCCCAGCTAAAAGGAAAATGGAAATTTAAAAAAATCTCACCACAGCTTTTGTAATGTATTTCCAAGTTGTCCTCTTTGCAGACTGTGTGCGTAGGCCATTCTGTGCTGGCATTGATGTAAACCAGGACTAAGATGACAAGAAGAACATTTGATGTCTTCATGGTGGTGGTGGTAGTTTGCAGGATTACTTTTCTGTTTCTTGCTAACTCTCTGTGAAGGGAGCTGTTCCTTCCTTTCTCCAAGGGAGCTCAGAGTTACTACATTCGAGCCTGCAGAAGGGTTAAGTGAGTCAATGCAGCCTTAGCTTCTCACAACGTGGTATAAACAAGAAGCTAATCAGAACTGGAGGGTGCTATTTCCGTGTACTTAGACTTCTGCTTTCTGCTCCACGTTAGTTTAAACAAATGACAAATGAGCTAATCACACCTACTCACTGCATGGCATAGCCCTGTCTTTCTGCCTGCTGGAACAATGCAGCAAACTGTTTAGTTTTTCTCTTGCTGCCAGTTTCTTCTCTTCAAGTCAAAGCATTTGGGTCAAGGCTCAAGACAGGCTTATGTAGCCCTTCTGGCTGCAAAACAATGTGAACGAAATTGCCCCATCTTAATCACACAAAGTCAGATCAAATTTTGCAAGATGGACAGTTTGGTTTCTATGGTGTTCTTAGTAACAAATCTGTCTGGTAAAGGGAAGCAAGGTGTGTCTGATGAAGCTGACACCAAATAACCAGGCCTTGGAACTTATGGGAATTAATGCTTTCTACTTGACTATGCTAAATACACTTCATGTCCATTTTCTTCAACAGTTCTTAGCCATGTGCTACTTAACAGTATACCAAGTCAGGTAAACCTAGTCTTATTTCTTTTCCTTCTTTCTTCCTGGGTATTTAACTGCCCATTAGTGACACTGTGCACTTGTTATTTGCACTAGAGTTTTTTAAAGCTGCACTTTATGAGATTAGTAGCTGTTGCAAATGGCAGGGAATGATCAGTACAGAAAGGAGAGAGTTGTTGCACCTTCAGTAAACCTCTTCAATTCCATTTAAGATCCAAGATCGGACTAGAATTTCAAACTGCAGCTGCCAAAAGGGTCATTCCTGGACAGAAAACCAACTGGAAAAAAGCTACAAGCTAAATTCAACCCTAGGGCAAATGTCTGCAATAATCTTCTCTGAGCTGGCGACAAAAGGAAATGTGCTCTGTAGCATGAATAAAAGTTGAATAAGAGATCACTTTGGTCATCTCAGTCTTTCTTGTTCTGAAGACTGCAATATGATTTGCTCTGCCACTGGGTAAGGTTGAAGAGGGAAAAGCCTACATACTTTAGCAAACAGGAGAGCACATAAAAAGATAATTATAGAATAATGCTGAACAGTAGAGCTCTTCCTCAGGCAAAATTCTGGTCTGGATGAAGGTAATAAAACTAAGCCCATAGATTGAAGAGGAGGCCAAGATTTCAATGATGATGCATTAAATTTAAAAGCCAATTCAATAAAGTCCAAGGGACCTTGCTTTGAATAATGAGGCTCAGGCCTGCTTCGTGTTTTTGGATACTAACATAATGGTAAATTTTATATACAGAGGTAGGTTGAAAACCCAGACAACTGTCCTTAGGCATGGAAGATGTGTAAGTCATGTAAAGAGATTTAGTTATATGGATCTGTCTGGTTTGACTGGACTTTGGTTGTATCCAGCTGATAGATGATGAAAGCAAGTGCAATAGCAAAGGGAATAGTAAAGAGAGACAATGTCTAGGATTACTGTAATACATTTAAACTAGAATCACATAAAGTAGGAGTCCCTTCTCACTTAGGTCTACAAAGGCAGTGAAAATTGGATATGGCAATTTATTACAAAATGCAAAGTACTTCAGATCAGGACTGTGAGAACATAACCTCCAGTAGTTTTTTTGATTTTTTTATGAATGGCATCATCATGATCCTTAATTTTAAATGTCAGCCTAATGCTCAATAACAATGAGCAAAGCAAATCAAACGATAGGGCAAATGTTTCAAAGACAGACCCACTGGGGATCACTAAATCAGATCAAGCTCAGGTCCTGTCCTGAGATGAAAATCATTGGAAGCTAGAAAATTATGTGAGAGAAATACCATACATGCTTGACCTGCTCTTACTCTTCCCTGCATGCCTGCTTGTTCACGCTGCTGGGTACAAGCTAGTGGTATAAATATGGAGCCTTGGTCTGGACTAGAATAGTTTACCTGGATACTAGGCTTGCTCTTGACTTCCCCTTCCCTTTGCCCAACCTATCCTGCTGGAACAGTGTTGCTAGTGCTCGTGGCTTTCAAAGTGCTGACTCAAAGCAGTGTTTTGTCTTTGCTGAAGCCCCATGGTAGAGGCTCTGCAGATACCCAGGAACGTGAGCCCTGCCTTCCAGAGATTTGAGTCTAAGTGCAAGCAGGCAGCCCAGAAGAATTGGAACAACACTGGGCTTTAGAAGTACAAGTCTTCCTGCTTCGCTGAAAGCAGGATGGCTGGGATAGATCTCCTAGTAGAAACCAAACAGGACTCTGTGATGGGCTCAGGAGCTCTCCTGTGCGCAGGCAAGTGTCGGCACCATTTCCCCGTCTGGTGCACAGATACTTTCTTGCTCTTTTGAGACAGCTACTTCATCCCTTTTTTTGGCAGCACTCCTGACACTGACTCAAAATTATGAGTCACAAGATTATATTTTTTTTTTGGTGGGTGCAAGGTTGGAACGTGTCTCTCAAATAGTTTTTAGGCAGCCAGTGTTCTGAGGGGAAACAGTCACTATAGCTAAGATTTTTGGAAAGCTGAGCTGTGACTTCCACTTTGCCCCACCATTTTATTCTCAGTGGGAAGGGGATTTTACTTTGAGTGGTTCAAGTTTACAATGTGTACTCCAGACACTGTTTCGTCATGTCATTCCCTGTGTAATCCTTGTATCTCCTAGAAAGAGCTTTATTACCAACTCCATCTGTTCTGAGAACTGCTTTCCCTTCAAACAGCCAAAGCCTGTGGGATGAGAAAACACATCTAAACCAAGTGGTATCAGTGCTGGCAGTGGGAATTCTGTTTTGGCAGGTTGCTTAGCTGGCCAACAACCGTGTTTCTTTATCTGTCTGATTGAAGGCTTTGACCATGGAGATAAGCAGCTAAAAAATGCCTCCAATGAAAGCTATTTTCTTGAAGAGGGGCAGTGACTTCAATGTTATCTAGAGCACTTATCAAGAAGATTATTATATCTGCAAAATAATTGGGAAGAGTAAAAGATACAAAGATAGCAGGCTAGTAAGAAAATAAATCTTACACCAATGTCTCTTCCTGGGTTGGCTGATACAAGACAACTGTATCAGCAAAGTGCCTCAGTATACCCTCTCCCCTAGTAGCTTATCAAACTAGTCTCTCATACCTATAACTAGTATCCAGTATTTTTGTTTGGTTTGTTTTGTTCCTTGTTACTTCATGACCCAGTTCTTCCCTTTTAGATTGCAGTCAATATTAAGTCGTAACTGATTTAATAGACAGCAACATCCACCGATTAGACAACATACTATTAAGTAGCCTAATTGTAGATATACTGTTAAGAGATACACTGTTACCATTAATTTACAATTGTATTATTTTGTACAGTTACCACCAAATAGAAACCTAATTTTCTATCTCAGATCTTGCAAATCACTCCCAACTATTTCGTTAGAATTTTGCCACCCTTACCACCCATGCTGCTTGGTGCCAGAGTCCAAGTCTGTCCCTTTTTGCTTGCCCCCCACTGACTCTTTCAGGCACGGACTTGATGGAGAGTCAGAATTACAGAATCACCAAGGCTGGAAAAGACATTTAAGATCCTCAAGTCCAGCCTATGACCTAACACCACCACATCGACCGGACCGTGGCACTAAGCCACATCCAGTCTTTCCTTGAAGACACCCAGGGTAGTGCCTCCACCACTTCCCTGGAAAGTCCATTCCAATGTCTAATCACCCTCTTCATGAGAATGTACTTCCTAATATCCAACCTAAACCTTGCCTGGAGCAGCTTGAGGCCATGCCCTCTTGTCTTGTTGCTAGTTGCCTGGAAAAAGAGCCTAGCCCCCACCTGACTGCAACCTCCCTTCAGGTAATTGAAGAGAGTGATAAGGTCCCCCTTGAGTCTCCTCCAGGCTAAACAACCCAAGCTCCCTTAGCCTATCCCTATGACTTTCCCTCTAGTTCTTTCCCCAACCTCATTGCTCTCCTCTGGACCTGCTCCAGCACCTCAATATCCTTCTTGCAGTGAGGGGCCCAGACTTGCTCACAGCACTCGAGGTGAGGTCTCACCAGTGCTGAGTACAGGGGGAGAATCACATCCCTACTCCTGCTGGCCACACTATTCCTGATGCAGGCCAGGATACTATTGGCCTTCTGGGCCACCTGGGCACCCTGCTGGCTCATGTTCAACCAGTTGTCAACCAGTACTCCCAGGTCCCTCTCTGCTGGGCTGCTCTCCAGC